ACAATGTACAGATAATAAATACAACTCATAACATCTCAATGAGAGGTATAGAAGTCTGTCAATAAGAACTTCCTAGTCCTTGCAAACCTTCCACTGACAAGGTCTCAACGTATTTCGTGCTATGCACAATAAAGACTTGAAGAAAACATCCCTTTTTCCATAAGAAATGTAAGCAAGTAATTTAGAAAAGAAGACAGAAATATCATACAGCCATAAACGCACCGCCTTGCGTGATTTCTCCTTAAACTGAATCATCCTGTTCAGCCAACCAATTGGGGCAGCTGAACTAAGAAGCCACATCAGCTCTACATGAGCACGGACATGAGACTGAACGAAGACAGAAGCCTGCAACATAATGCACTTTAATTTCATTCATACATCTTCCACAGCTATAGACATTCTAAATGCTTTACACAAGAACAACATAAAAATTCCTTGTGAGAGACGCACGCGCACACACATACAAGTTTCACATATCTAGTCATAGACACACACAAACGCCTACACACCGAACCTTGGAGGTATCTATACCACATGCTAAGTAAATAGCCGCTGTATTTCTTGTTGCTTTACTTAGTTGTTGGGTATCATAAGGTAATGTGATCTGGAAACAACGAGAAGAGTAAATTAACATGTAAGCTACAATTGTTAAGTAGTGGAAAAACCCAAAGATTGTTACAAAAAAATTCCTAATAGAAAATAATATATCCTATAAGATTACAATTACACTTAATCTTGGCAATGAACACTACATCTTAAAACTATATTTGAATGATAGACATTGCAGTTACAACCATTCATTTGGAAACAATGAGAAGAGTAAATTAACGATGTTAAGTAGTGGAAAAACCCAAAAATTGTTATAAAAAATTCCGAATAGAAAATACTATATTCTATACGATTACAATTATGTTTAATCTTGGTAATGAACACCACATCTTAAAACTATATTTGAATGATAGACATTGCGGTTACAACCATTCATTTTTTAGACAACCTCCAAATTTACTACTACTAGGCTCCATCAAGACGCCTTTGCCTTTCTAGTTGAACATAAAACTAAAGCCTCCTTTAACCAAGATGATGCGCCCCATTTGAAAAGAGTATATGTGGATTCTGGAAAGAGTGCTTAATTCGTTTAGAACATTTTAAATTAGAATAACAATGATAAAAATGGGACAACACCTTACATCTCCCACTTGGCAAGGTGGGATATAGTTGAAAAAAAAAAAAAAAAAAAAAAAAACTAGCACTATGTCTCTTTCAATTGCTTGCTCACAGACATCAAAACAGCACCTTTGGTCCTTTCCACCCCTTAATGGTTTCCTAACACTTTCATCAATTTCTTCAAGAAATAAAACTTCTTGTACTAACAGTTCAGATCATTTTTAAATACGTACATATAGAGCAAATCACACAATTTATTTGATGGCCACTCAGAAAACAAATGATATCCTAAGTTACAACAAGATAACTACACAAAGGATAGACATTCTGCCATAGTTACCCTGTGGCGCTAAACGGAGGAAGCAGAGAATAAGAATATGTGCATAGTTCACAAACATGAAAATATCAATTGTCTTAACATACCGCATGAAGATCCACAATGAAGAAGAGAGTATCATATGTGTCCTGCAAAACATAGCATGAAATGAACAGGGTAATTTTAAGTTTTTTGGGGAAAGTTGTAACATCTGGAGTTTTAAGAAAATAAATTTAAAAAAAAAAAAAAAGAAAAGAAAAAAGAAAAAGGGAAGGAAAGCAAAATGGCACACACGTAAGTTGGAGAAGACGACCGTACAATCAATGGTTAGTTTCTCGAGCCTAATAAATATACACTCCTAGAGTAAAAGTGTATAGAGTTGTATCCATAAGCCTTATTGGGCAAAAATAGACTAGAGTCAAGTTAATGGCTAAGGATTATAGTTGAGCATATAGCCTAAGTATATGTTATAAGGTTTAAGTATGACAAGGGCCTACAAGTAGGTTGCTTATTGAGGTTTTTTTATGCTCGTACCATGTTATTCTATTTTTTTCAGATGGAATGTACACCACTGTTGATGGCGGGAGTACACAGAGCCATGCAGTTGCAGGAGGTGCCCTTTAGATTGAGTCGTCTTCCTTCTTGTCATTTTATTATTATTTTAAATGCTGCTTCTCAGAACTTATGTACTTTTTGTTAACCGTTTTGACTTGACTCTGCGATTTTTTTTTTTTGTACCTCTAAAGTACTTTTATGTTGGTTTTGAATGCATATTTGAATCTTAAATTTTTTATGTCTCCCACTTTACAAAAAAAAAAATTACTGCCCTTTTTACCTTTGAGTGTAAGTGGCAATATGTGATTCGAGGCATCGACAGTTAGGTCGTTACAAAATTCATGAAAGGATAGCAGGTATTGTAAAGAAAAAGAAAAACAAGTCATGCACCGCAGTTGGTATTCAAATTTTATCGTTGCTAATATGTGAGGAGCATGAATGATGGTGAGATCGAAATAAATTTCTCAGGTTATTTCTCAAAGGATTATTAGAGCTAACAAGCTTATACCTCGTCTACGCATATAGGCACGAATTCTTGTTTTCATTTTTTTCCCCTTTAATGGATGAATCATTAAGAACCTAAACCTAGATTCAAGGTTCTGAGTATGTTTTGGTAGTTCAAGGAAGCAGGACAGTCACCTTCCAATGTATTGATTTAACATGTTCACGAAAAGAATGAAACCTGTCTTTGGCAAGATGAGTTTTCATTAAAATAAATAAATAAAAAGGAAAGATGTATGGCTACTTAGGTATGAGTTAAAGAAGTAGCATACAAGCACCGAACCTAACTAACCTTCACTACTTCAAAAGCTGCATTCAAATGAAGTTTTTCAAGGGGCTACACATAAAAGAAATCTACCAAGTATTTGACAATCCCAAACAAGGAAGGCAGGCAATACAAGCAAAGCAAGAGATATAGTTGAAAAATTATTCATAAGGCCATGTACATATGGGAAGTAATGTAAACCTGGAGCGAAATCCAATTCTTTATTGCACCTAGATAATTACCAAGATGAATAGAGCCTGTCGGCTGAACACCCGATACTATCCTCTGCCTGGCAAAACAATACTCAACTTCGTTTAATTGCACGACTGGGCATAGCATATTTATTCTATACTCAAAGCATTCAAAAGCATCCATAAACCAAAAGGAGAACGGTAAATAAGGGAGCAACGAGAAATCAGGAGTTTTTTCTTTTTAATGAGAATGTGAAACTAAGAATATTAGCAATGCTGTTTCATTCATCCAAGTAAACCGGTGACGACAATTTTACTCTTATACTGGACATACTGTCATTCCGATATCACAATACTGAGGCATCTACATTATACATAGGCATTATGAATCTCAAACTTCAAAAGGCAGAAATCAGAAGTTTTCTTAGGGCAAGCGATTATGCTATACAAGTTATCATCCAACCATCAGTTTAACGGTCATTTCCCTCAAACCAGCCGTTATCTAGTGTTTATCTTATTGTTTCTGCGAAGTTCCGCAGACAAATGTAGAATTAACGACTTCAAAATCTATACAACTCGACTAACACAATGAAGTCTAAAAAACACGGTAGCCTCAATTTTCGATCCACTACCAATACTTCATACCATAAAAACGTAAAAAATTCGAGGTCGAGAATAATAAATGCAGTAAAAGTAAAATTTACTTGACGGAACTGGGAGGGCGCTCTGACGCAGCAGGTTCGGTAACGGAGATACTGCAACAGCATCGGGAACTGTTTCCAATTGAAGACCGATGAAGCCGAAAGATCGAATGAGCCTTGGAGTGATTGCTTCCAAACGCAGAAAATGATCTGCTGGAAAGCTGAATTCAACTTAGAAGTGCCAAAACTGTCTCAAATTTCCCTGCATTTGAAACTGCGTGCATATGTGTGCCAGGAAGAGAGCGAAGAAGGGAAGAAGTACGTACAGAGAAGGCGTAAAGCGAGGAGACGACTGTGAGAGGACGAGAAAGTGCGAGAGAAGGGAGCGACCCATCCTCGTTTCTGTTCGTATCATGTTATCTATGGTCTTTGACTCTTCCGCTCTTCAAACCTGCAGAGTTCCCGGATGAGGTCCGGTACTGGTAATTTTATACTCATGTTCGCGTGAGTTTCACGCGCTTGTGATTTTACTGATTTACCCGCTTATGGAAATTTATATTGGAACTCTAATATTAATTTCATGCAAGTATTATTAACTAACCTTTTATAAAATTAATTTTAATTTTATACAACTTTTTATTTTATTTATAAAGTAAAATCTTGTATTTATTTAAAAACTACAGTGCTTAATACACGTGTAATTTCAATATATATATATATATATATATATATATATATATATATATATTCAATAATAAGTCTGTCGCTAACCGATATTGTCTTATTTGAACTTTCTCTTTTGAGCTTACCCTCAAGGTTTTAAAGCATAACAAGTCTCTCGTAAGTAGATATTGTCATTTTTTTAGTTTTAAAACACATATAGAGAGATTTCCACACTAGGAGGAATGTTTCATCTCTCTCCAACCAATGTGGGATTTCACAATCCATCTCTTGAGGTCCCAGCTTTCTTGCTGGCATACCACACAGGAACTTGGCTCTTATGCCATTTGTAATCGTTCAAGCCCGTCGTTAGCAAATATTGTCTTCTTTGGCCTTTCACTTCCAAGCTTCCCCTCTAAGTTTTAAAACACATCTATTAGGGGGAGATTTCCATACTCTTACAAGAAATGCTTCGTTCTCCTTTCCAACCCGTGTGGGAGGACGGTTAAATTTTTAATTTTTTGTTTAATAAATTTATTATAAATTTAAAATTTTAAGAATTAATTGATTTATTATATATAAATCTGTATTGGTTGTTGAAGGAAGGTTAAACTTGTAATTTTAAGTTATTTTTTAGAAATAAATCTGTAATTTAATATATTTTAAAATTTATTTTTTTCCTAAAAAGGAGGGATTCTTCGTAAACCCCTAACGAAGGGGACCTGTCCAGCCGGTTTGGGTATTTCTGCTCGACGAGGCGTGGAACTGGGAATCTTCTCTCCAAAAATCGAGTAGCAGCAACAGGAAGAATGGAGCGTCTCCGCCGGAGAGACAGACAGATGTTTTCTGGGTTTACGAAGGGCGAGGTAGGAATCTCATTCATTTCCCTGAATCTGAGCATGTATTTGATCATATCGGTGTTGATGGATTTACAATGTCAAAGTATAATTTCGAAGTACGGTCTCTCACCGGCCATTTTTTCTCAGGGCACTTTGTTTATCCTTTTCGATGATCACGCCTGAAATGTTTTTTTTTTTTTTTTTTTATGCTTTTGGGTTCAATGGAGGCCACAAAGAACTTCTTTTGGCGCGGGAACTATTGCATAATTTGTAGTCTTACGTCAATAGATAATGATAAGTGAATGGGCTCAGTTTCATTTTTCGACTCCATGTTCTTCCTCGTGCGATATATTTCATTAGCAATTAGGAAGGGTTATGTGGAATCATTGGTGTTCCACATCCAACATTTGAAGCATTAACTTACCCTTGTACCAGAAGCTTACGTTGGAGAACAGTTAATCTTTTATTTGAATTTATCTTCCTTTGAAAGGTTGAGACGAGAGACAATTATGAGTTAGGAATCAACTATTTTCTACCTATCTTGGAAAAGGATTACCATGTCAATATCTTCTACCTCGAAGATTTTAGGGAATGAATTCAAGCCATATTGACCACCTACTTAGGATTTGATTATTATCCCACAAGTTGCATTGACAACCAAACGTAGTAGAGTCAGATGGTCGTATCGTGAAATTAGTTGAAGTGTGCGCAAGTTGGTACAGACGACCATAGATATAAAAAAATTCATCTATCCTAGAGAAAGTCCGTCCTTAAAACTCATTTCAGGCAAAATTTTCACATCTACTTGCAAAATATTGTATCGAGAAATGTATGGAAACGATAAGGGCAATTGAGTTTTCATAATACTTTTATCGTGATGAAAAGTAGTTATGCAAATATAAATTTAAGGAGGCAAGAAAAGTTAACTTCTCGAGTGTCTTTTGTTTTTAAGGACTAATGTGTGCGTGTTTTGATTTCCACCGGCTGGGAAGCTCGCTTGTAAATATCCTCACTCTTTTCCTTTTGGTGTGCCCGGACCAATATTTTCTGTGCGGTCTCATGCTTATGTGCTTTTATCTATCTTAATGAAAAATTTGCTTTAAGGAAAAAAAAAAAAGAACCCTCCTGAGAAGCAGACTAATTACGTACAACATTTGCTGTTATTCTATATCCTATGTAATCTTAATTTTTCCGCTGGTTAAGGACCATGCTTCTAGAGCCTATCTCTTCTTGTAACTACACTTTTTAGGGAATGGGAGTTTTTTTTTTTCCCTAATAAAGAAAAGCTCTTTTAGAAATTTTATTTTCAGGATATTCACTCTGAAGGCATATTTATTTATTTTCTTTCATTTCATGCTACACTGAATCCATAATGAAAGATTAGTTTGCATCAATTTAGAAATTCTTTTTGGGTCGAGAGTTTGTTGTACATACCTTTTATAATGTATCACGAACATTCATTTTTAGTTTTCCCATCCCCCTCGGGGTTAACCCTTGCAAACAGATAGAGAAAATGGAGAAATTGCTAGAGGAATCAGGATTACAGTTGCTTAATAGAGAATTTTGTCAAAAAGTTACCCAAGGTTTCAAGTGAGTTTCATTTTTCTCATTTGTTATATGACTTTTAATGAACCTTTAAATATGTATATGATGTATGTATAATATAAAGTTCTCATATTTTGGCATTTCATTTCGATGCAGTCGGTCTTCTGGTCGTGCTGGGAAGCCTGTAATAAAGTGGATGGAGGTTGTCACATTGTTTACTTTTTGCTTATTCTCTTGTTTTCGTAATATTATTCTATTTCTACTGTTGTATATCTTGCGAATAGGACTTGATAAACATTTTCTTGTGGGCATTTGGAAATCGTTGGTGTAAATTCCTGCAGGTCTTTGTTGTGAGTTCTGCCTTCAATTTTTGTTTAGAGAGCTCTCTTGAGCAAATGCTTAGTAACTTCCTTGTGGAAGAATCATTCTTTGGCAGGGTACTTTGGTCACTGTGGGTATTTGGCTGGAGAAGAATAAAAAGTTTTTTGAAGCTTGATTTTTCGACGGGGTTAGGTATGGAGTCTTGCACAACAGCAAGTCTCCTCTAATTACAACAGTATAGTCTTATATAGGTCTCCGGAGATGTTTCTTTTTTTCTTTTTGCTTTTCCCTCTTCTCCATTTCTTTATTTACTGTTCTTTATCTGGCCATCTTTTGTATTTTCACGTTTGAAAAGAAAAAATGGTTCTGGTGAAAATTTGTCTTCATAAAATGTTACAGGTATACAATTGGCTCCAAAGTCGACTGCAAGACTTCCCGAAAAATGAAAAGAGGATGTCTGAAATTCCCAAAGCTTGCCCTTCAAATAAGACTCAGGAAAGTTCTCAACGCCCCGAAGGTAACTTGAGCCAAGTATTTGTCTCCATTGTTTTTGAAGGCAAAGTTACTCAGCTGTAGGATGGTTTAATGTTAAAATGACAATTACTTTCTAGTTTCAACTCTAACTGCAACCATCATACATGTATGTCTGCACATACATTAAGCCTTTTTTTTTCTCTCTCCTTTTTCACATGCTAATGATCTTTATTTAAAAGCAGGTGAAAAGAGCCCAGATTTATCAGAATTGGAATTTGAAGCAAGGTCATCAAAAGATGGTGCATGGTATGTGAAGAAATCACTACCTTCGGTTTTGTTTAGATAGGTGCATCTTTTGGGTGTTCGTCTTTGTATTTTCTCTGATGTTCTTGTACGGTTTGAATACGACTCCAAAGGTAAAGCTAGGGATATCACCCGATATAACAGAGTTATTTAGATGGGATAAGTTAAACATATCTTTGAGTTTCAATGTGCCCAACCCTTTAAAGCAGACAATCTCCTCCTTGATTCAAGCATTTTCTTAAGATTTCTTTTGTTTAGCTCCCTTTTGGCCATGAGTTGGAGCTTTGGGAATAAAGGAATAGGAGCTTCAAGGGACAATATAGAGGATTGATTGATTGGAAGTGTGGGATTGGCTTAATATATTGTATGTAATCGGCTCTCTCATTATGATGCCTGGTCCTATGCAGAATTTTTGTTCATTAGTATTTGTGTTTCTTATCATAAACAAGCTCTAAATAGGGAAAACAAAAAATAAATTCTCTTTGAAGCAAGAATTGGGAAGTTATGGTACGCATTGAATGTCTTGTTTATGTAACCATTTAATCTTACTGCCAATGTGATTACGATAGACCCCAAATTACCAAGGTTTATACACGTTGAACTAGGAAAGAGAAAGTGGGGGAGCTGAGTGATAGTATGTGAGAAATGAGCGTTTGTATAATCTTTTGGACGAGTGTTTGTTGTGATTTTGTGGGGCGCAGGTGTTTGGTGAGTTAGAGGTGGGCTGAGCTTTTTTTATATTGGGATAGCCATTTAAGGGTTGGTCTCGGTGAAGGAGAGTATGTTTTGGTCTTGTTGTTTTTGTACTCATATTCTGTGTGTTCTTGAAGAGAGGGAATCTCTCAAATCTCCTTTGTGCCATTAATAGTCGATAAATAAATCGAGGTTTATCAGATTACGCAGCAGTGATTTACTATGATATTATTTCAATTCGTAAGAATGGTCGTTTGTGTATGATTAGTAAGTGCAGATATTGAATCTAATTAGAAATTTCCTTTCGGTATCTGATTGTAAATTATAATGGACTAAAGGTTGAATATGGTTGCTACCTACTTGAAGAAGAGGATTTTACTATGAAACTTTGTGATGTTCAGGTTATTAAGGGGAAATATAAAACAGAAAAGAATGATAACTCTATGTTGGTTTTAGGTGAAGCTGTATTTGTGGTTTCTGCTTGTTACCATTTCAAATTTTTGCTGCGGTTCTGATGGCATTCCCCTTATATATATTATGCAGGTATGATGTTGCTATGTTCCTTACGCATAGATTTCTTAGGTCAGGCGAAGCTGTGAGTCTTTGAACCATGACATCTTTTTTTCTTCTTGTATTCTGATTTATGACACCTTCCATTTTTCACGGAGTATAAGATTTGTTGAACCAAGTGAGCTCATGGTTCATAAAGGTGTCTGCTCTGGGCTTTAGATGTATGAGTACTCATTAACTTATACATGCACGTATATGCATGTGATGCTCGTAGCAGAATATAATTTCATTAGAGTTTTCATTTGGTTGTCTGATTGGTTTTGCCAATTCATTAAAGGAAGCGCGAGTCAGATTTGTCGGATTCGGAGCCGAGGAAGACGAATGGGTCAACATAAAACAGGCAGTACGAGTACGCTCTGTCCCTATAGAACATTCAGAGTGTCAAAAGTTGAAGGTTGGGGACATTGTACTCTGCTTCCAGGTGACTAATTAATGCAAAAACCTTTGGACAACCGGTAGATTGTTCATTTATCTGTAGTCCATTTCTATCTTAGATATTAAATTTTTCAGGAGAGGAGAGATCAGGCAATCTACTATGATGCACATATTGTGGAAGTCCAGAGGAGAATGCATGACATTAGGGGCTGCAGGTGTCTTTTCCTGGTTCGTTACGAACACGATAGCACCGAGGTAAGTATCACTTTCTCGAGCTCGCTCGTTACAGCTTTTGAAGTAGTTCATAACAATCACACGTACTTGTTCAACACCCAGGAAAAAGTTCGTTTGAGAAGATTATGTCACAGACCGGCACATCGATTCTAAGCTGGAGATATGAATGGTTTGCCACAGAAACTACAATGGGTAATGCTAATTTTGTATGTTCTTTCATAAAGGTGAGGGCATGTTGTGGGTAAAATTTCATAATAGAAGTGGTTTGATTGTTTTCACCTTATTGTTTGTGTATCCATGGCATCTGTAGTTTCTCCCAAAAGCCGTGGGAACAAGCATGGGAGACGCACATGTAATTGTTGCATATTCTATGCCTATCTATGGCAAATTGGGCAAGACGAGTTCGAACTTTTAGTGGGTTTTAATATCTCTCTCTGCCCATTGCTTGCAAATCTTTAGCCATTTTAAACAGGTCTGTAACAGAGAGAGAGTCTTGAGATCCACTGAGACAACCATAGCCAAAGCTGTGGACTTTCAGAGGGAATTTTGGGACACCTTCAACACTACCACATGGTTCGACCCGAAACTCTCCTTAACCAATTCTATGAGAAAGGTTGCTAGAAAAAGTTTCGAGAAATGAAATTCGAGCAGTTTCGGCTCTTCGATTAAGCACTCTTGAAGCATTAGTTGTGATCCCATAATTAGTCTCGACTTTCTCTTGAATCTCTCAAGATTGTTTGCTTTATAATTGTTGCTAAAACTGGTTTTGTCGTGTAAAAACTATATTTAATAGGAGCGTTGTTGCTAAAACTGGTCAGATTGTAACATTTGTTTTAGATCCAACCCAACTTGAACCAACATAATCGGTCTGATTGTTTGAGGTTTTTTTATTCAATCTTAAGTACAATGTCGTAAAGTAGCTCAAATTTTAAACTTATGAGCTAATACAGTCCATAGAGTTTTCATTTATTTGAATAAAATTGAGCTCAAATAAGTTTATAATCCAACTCAAAATCGTGCGGGTTTGATCAAATTTTTTAGGTTCTCATCCATTCTCAAACACTTAATATTAATATTATTTTTAGTTTTTAAAAAATAAACTTACTGGGGAGAGCTGTGGAAAGTTAATGGGCTTTTCTGATGGACTTAATAAATAATGGGCCTACTTGAGGGAGAGTGGTCCATAGGTACTAATGGGCTTAGAATTAATGGGCTTTTCTGATGGACTTAATAAAAAAAGCCCAGAAAAGTAATGGGCCTAATTGAGGGAGAGTGGTCCATATCTACTCTAACGTAAGTTTTGAACATAATATAATGCATGCTTAGTAGGAGAATTTAATGTGCTCCATGTGACATTGTATTATAACCAAATTAATCCATTAGGGTTCGTGACAAATCTTGGTAGGGTCCACATAAGAGACCCTTCATCAAGGGATTGGGGTCGGCCTAATTATCCTTTGGTGTAATACGTTTAAAAACTTTTAATTTTATGTTTAATAGATATTTAAAATTTTTAAATTTTATATAACGCCTCGTATCAAGAGTGCACCTTATTGATATGGGTAAAGTCTTTCTTAGTTATCTTATATTTAAAGTTGCTGTCAGTTCATTTATATACAGTAGAAGATGAGAAAATGGTACCATCAAGTAGCATTTTAAAATAATATATAGTTTATAAGATAAAGTAAAATAATATCTAAATTAATATAAAGGAGTAAAGTTTAAGATTATAAAATAAGAGAAAAAGCATATAGTATAATAATAATACAGTGTATATTGGGAATGAAAAGGACCATACACTGTATATTCCATTATATGCTAATTGCTTCTACGTAAAGACAAACCACTTTTTTCTTTTCCCTTCAAACTCCCAAAATTCCCCCTTTTTTATTTATTTATTTTTTAAAAAAAATTAAGGATTTTAATTTTTGGAGGAGTCCTAAAGTTGTAAATAAGTGGAACATGAGTGGCAAATGCGTGCGATTAGGAGAATTAATTTTGAACCTCGTCGTTAATGAATGAAAAGAGAAATATCGGAAATTAGGCCCACAAAATCAGACCCCTTTTTACCTTTTAGCCATTCGTGTTCAAACTTCAAATTCCATTTCTCAAAAGGAAACTCATGCCCCTTTTCGTAATTACACGCTTTATCTCCTTCAACAAAGCTTTGACCTGCCCTTATCTCCATCTTCTTAACCCTACATTCACTCTACCTATCCTAAAACTTCAATTATGGCATTGCCCCTTTTTCGTAATTACACGATTTTAGATGGACTGTATTGATGACTCGAACAACTCGAATAGAGTTCACAACACAACTCAACCCAACCCCGTTTTAGGTCGAGTTGCTGAAAGCATCTAAATAGTAAACCCTCCTCAAGATCAATACTCTCCTACTCCGACTTCTCCCAAGTCTCTAATAGCACAACCAAGACAAAGATGGGTTATCTGCCTCTGTAGGGATGTAGCGATAGAAATTTTGAGAATTCAAAAAAAGGTCACGGCAAGATGAACCATTTATCATCACAATAGATGTTAAGTGGAAGTACAGAGATATATGTCGTTGAGGCATCACGGTTGGACTGTCCAGTAATTTTTTTTATACATATATTATTACTATTTAAAAAAACATATTTATGTACCATACCTATTACATTGATAACTAAAATCTCATAAAATTTCAATATCAAACATTTATGCTAGCATAGATGGTTAGGATTGGTACCAATTGTTAGCTGTGATACCAATTGTTAAGATCGCTCAACAACGCATACACTCGATCAAGATGAACACAAAAAACATTAGAGAAAAAATATAAGTAGAAATATTTATTAAAGGTTTTATATTGATAACTTCACGCCGTGTACAACAACAAAAATCAGAGAATAACTCTTATCCCAACATATATCACAAACATTAAATATTCTTAGTTTTCATAATAATTTTAAAAGTACGGTGGAGTCCTAACCCTATTTTCGACAACCTAATCAAAACAACGTTAACCCAAACCGAAATTTTTAATTTTCCAAAAATTTAATCGAACCCAAATCCAAAAAAAGAAACCATCTAAGGTTTGTGTTAGATAGTTGAAGTCAGTCCCTGTCTCATTCTCACATCAAATGATGACCTCTATTTTTTTAATACAAAGTTTTATTATAATCTTGAACAAAATATATATATATTGATTGCTTTTTTTAGTATAAAGTTTTCATGTAGTTTGACTGTAATAATAGTTTCATTTTTTGAAAAGGAAAAAGAATTTTAAAAAAATTGGGTGTTATATTATATATTGGGTTATTTCAGGACATGAACAGATGAACTAAAGCTCGAAACTGAAACCAGATCGGTGGAATCCAAACCCTAGCTGCTCCTGCTGACTAATTCATGGGGAAGAGAAGACCCATAAGATTCTTCTTCTTCTTCTTCTTCTTCTTGTTTCTGTTGAATCGGCATTCAACTGCTCTGCAACTCCACCGCCATGAAACCCACCTTCTTTTCTCCTTCAAAGCTTCCGTTCACACAGACCCATCTCGCCTTCTCTCCAATTGGGATCTCTCCGTTCCCGTCTGCAACTGGAACGGCATCACATGCACCGGAGACAATGCTACCATCGTTTCCGTCGACCTCTCCGGTAAGAATCTCACCGGCGTAATTCCCGACTCTGTTTTCCGCCTACAGAACCTCCGAATTCTGGACCTTTCCGACAACCAATTCGTCGGAGAACTCCCTCGGAATATCTTCTCTGTCGCCTCTTCTTCCCTTCTCCATTTGAATTTGAGCAACAATAACATCACCGGCAAACTCCCTTCTGGCGGCGTTCATGGTCTCCAAACGTTGGACTTATCCAACAACATGATTTCCGGTTCAATTCCGACAGATATCGGATTGTTCTTTGATCTTCAGTTTCTTGATCTCGGAGGGAATGCTTTAATCTCCGAAGTTCCGAATTCCCTTGCGAATCTCTCATCGTTGGAGTTTTTGACATTGGCGTCTAATAAACTCACCGGAGAAATTCCGAGGGATTTGGCCGGATTGAAGCGGCTGAAATGGATTTATTTGGGTTTCAATGAATTTTCCGGCGAGATTCCTGAAGAAATCGGCCAATTGGGTTCTTTAAATCATCTTGATCTTGTTTACAACAAGCTAACGGGGAGAATTCCGGCGGCGTTGGGGAATCTCTCTCAACTTGAGTATCTATTTCTCTACCAAAATTGTCTCGCCGGTTCGATTCCTCCGTCGATTTTTAGTTTGGTGAATTTGATATCTCTCGATGTTAGCGATAATTCTCTGTCGGGAGAGATTCCGGAGCTCGTAATTCAATTGAAGAATTTGGAGATTTTGCATCTGTTTCGGAACAATTTCACCGGAAAAATTCCGACAGCTTTGGCTGCTCTGTCCCGGTTGCAGATTCTTCAGTTATGGTCCAATGGATTTTCCGGCGAGATTCCGGCGTTACTTGGAACACAGAACAATCTCACTGTTCTTGATGTTTCAACTAATTATCTTACCGGAAAAATCCCACATGGGCTTTGTGATTCTAAACGCTTATTTAAGCTTATCCTGTTTTCAAATTCGCTAAACGGCGAAATTCCAGAGAGTCTCTGTTTTTGCAGGAGTTTACGGCGTGTTCGGCTTCAAAACAACCGTCTCTCCGGCGAATTGTGTCCGGGATTTACGAAATTACCTCTACTTTACTTTTTGGATATCTCTGGCAACCGATTTTCCGGCGGGATCGACGGCGAGAAATGGGAGTTGCCGGCTCTTCAGATGATGAGTTTAGCGAGGAATAAGTTTTCAGGGGACTTGCCGGAACTGATCGGGAGTAATGAAATCGTGAGTTTGGATTTCTCGGCGAATGAATTTTCCGGTTCCGTCCCGGAGAGTATCGGAAGGTTATCGGAGCTAATGAAGCTAAATTTGAGCAACAATTATCTCTCCGGTCGAATTCCAGGTGAAATCTCTTCTTGTAAGAAGCTCGTGAGTTTGGATTTAAGTAACAATAAACTCACCGGCGAAATCCCGGCGGTTCTCAGTCGTATTCCGGTTCTCAGCTTCCTCGATTTATCGGAAAACGAACTCTCCGGCGAAATCCCACCGATTTTAGGCCGAGTTGCATCGCTCGTTCAGATAAATATCTCTAACAATCACTTCCACGGAAGATTGCCGGCCACCGGAGCCTTTTTAGCCATAAATAACAGCGCCGTCGCCGGGAACAATCTCTGTGGCGGCGACATTAGCAGCAATCTACCGACTTGCGAAAATGGCGTTAAAAAAAGACGCTACAGCCAGTTGTGGTGGATTACGGTCATATTGGCGGCGATAGTGGTGGCGACGGCGGTTTTTGTCAGAATACGCCGTCGTAAGCAGCGGATGGGAGAGAAAAGAGTGCAAAACGAGGAGGGAATTTGGGAGCTGAAATTGTTCGATCTCAAATCGTCCAAATTCGTCAC